CCGGAACAACAATCTTTGGATCGAACGGGAATCGAACCCGCGCCACGGTGTGCGGCAATGTAACACTCACTTTTCACTATTTATGTTATGAGTCCCATGTAATAGGGGGTGAGTCTATTGCCATATACCTACATATTATTGAAATAATTGTTCATTTTTGCAAATAGGGTACAAGGTAACACTTTTACACGTAAACAAAGTGATATGCAAGCCTGTACGTTTACATATATATATTATTAGTTTGATCACATCAGAAGTTGAGCTTTTTGTATCTCGAACTGTTAGAATATTCGTATTTGTAATGAACAAATTATCACTTCAATTCAGAAAACATCAGAAATAAGTAAAATTAATGCTGTACTAGATCGTCTTCTGACATCTTCTCAATACACAAAAATATGCATTCATAGAGTTCTTTTTTATTTTTGTCTAAATATTCTAAGACGAGTTTTGATTTCTATCTACTTTGGTGTAAACGAACCTCTTTGCCTTATAAATAGGGGTTGCAGTCCGACGTCAAGGATCGCTAAAAATATGATATCTTCTACAAGTACAGGCTTGCCGTTTCAATTTAATTAAAAATAGTCCGCTGTTGTGCACCCGGGTTATTCTGTGTTTGAGGTTTTTTTTCTTTTGAGTTTAATAGTTTTAGAGGTAGTAGGTATGTATGTATGTACATGGGTACTTGCCAACTAGTCCAAATCAATACTTTTTTCGAACTGTCAAAAACGACATTCTCCTATGAATTTTGTACGAGATTGTGTATTGTGACGTCACGTTTTTCAGCGTCAAACAACATAGGTACTTACTTATTAAAATTGCTGGAAAAATACTAAAATTAAGTTGGTCATAACATCAATTAATGAAAGTGTGATTATTTTTTAATATTTTATCGTATTGTACAGTCGAAATAATTTATTTTTGACTAAGGAAAGTACCCAATTGTAAGAACAATTTATCTGAAATTTTATCTCACTGTCGATTTTGACAAAAATAATAGCATCGTTATCCAATAAGATCTTGTTAATGCACACGTCATCGAAAACCGAAACCTAAGTTCATATTAAACACTTTCGTGAGACATACTTTTAGTCTTACTCGCGTAACTGTTTGATGAGGAACTCGACTAGTTTCAAACCATGTTTCCTAAATTTTATTTTAATGCTTGTCAGATAGATTTAAAATTTTAATTGATTGAATTCAAAACATCAGACATGTATTTTTTCTTTTCTCGCAAAATTAAATACTTTCAACGATATATTAATTTGAAATATCGTGTGACGCTACAACGTACATTTTTTAGCACTTTGTGACGTAACAACCTCTCACTGCTAAACTTAACTCCATTTTAGTGTTACATTGACCACTAGATTTTAGTGTTACATTGTTCTCGCACAATCGAAACAGCAAAACTATGTAACTAGAGAATTGTATTGTGAACCTGATTGAAAAAGAGTAACCTATGGAGTTTCTTGCTCGTTCTTCTCCATAGGAATCTACACCTTGGAATGAGCAAATAGCTTCACTTTTAATTTTATTGTTGACGTTGAAAAGTGCCTTTCTGGTGTAATTGAAATAAATGATTTTGACTTTTTTGACATTTGACTTTTATCTAAGTACCTATTGTAACTATATACGAGAAAATAAAAAATACGTATCTAATATTTTTAATTATATCTGATGGACTAATTAGATTTTAATTTACGTTGGCGACTACCCTATTTCCAAACACATTCAAAACAACAGCATCATTATAATATTATAAAAACAAAGCTACGAGCATCTTCCCTATCTTCAAACTGCACTTGAAAACTTCAGTCCCTTTCAACACTTTAAGAGTTCCCTAACAAGTAACATAAAGAAACAAACAACTCGAATATATAATCGTTCGCAAATTTTTACGATAACAACCATGTTTTTATAGAGAGCCCCATTTAGTTGAGGCACTTAGCACTTAAGATCTTTTTTCGCAAACAAAATGAATGTTCCTTTGAAGTTTAATGATAGAACGTGTTTATTCTACACTATTAGGTAGGTACAGGCTAGGCTAAGAGAAAATAGGTGATGGAAAAGTAGATTACATTTGCCAGTTTGTCAAGTTTTAGGATTAATTTTGTAGAAATTGCAATTTAGTATCTATTAAATAAATGTGTATAATGTTATTTTATTATTTTCAAAAAAAAAATAATTTAACACTAAATTTTAAAATAATGTCGCAACCTTAGTTGGAGCTGTGTGGCCACTGAAAATATTAGTTTTGACAACATTTAATTTCAGGTTCGAAATCTAGATGTAGTTGATGGTCCAATTTTGTAATCTATCATTGGCTCTAAGTGTGACGGCCCTGTTGTCACTACTCTGAAGGTCATCGCATGGCTCCGGGATGGCTCCAGCCTAGTAATGTCATTGTCATTTAAATGTTAACTTTAAATCGTATGTTGTACGACATATTTCATAACGTCAATATAAAAAAGGTGTACCTACGTCGTTGGGCGGCGCGCTTTTTGTATTATTTCCGCCGTGCCAAGGCCGTGTTTGAGCCGTGTTTGAGGCGTGCCAGAGCCGTGCTTGTTAGGTGTTTTTTTTAAGGGGGGAATATCTTCGAATTTCTTCTCCCATCTAGGTGAGACGAGAAGGAGTGTCAGACTCTTACTACTAAAAACCACCCCGTTCCTACTCCTGCACTTCGAGCCGAAGCCCCTGTAATCCGTTAAGTTCTCCGCGGCTCCGTATCGGCATCAGCCCTATTGGGTTTCATCTGTGGTGGTCTGATGGCTCTTTAAAGCGCGCGCGGAATCCGACGCGCCTGACGCTCGTGTCTGGTTCTGGTCGGGTGCTTGTTAGGTGTGCGATAACTTTTACTCTTCCAACTGGTGTCAAAAGAATCGAGTAATTAAGGGATTGCATACTGACCTTATCTTTCTTTTGAATGGGATTTTTTTTAAGCGGCGAATATCATCGTATGACTTCTCCCGCCTGGATGAGGGAGGGAGTGACAGACGGTCAGACTACTTACTAAAAACCACCCCGTTCCTACTCCTGCACTTCGAGGCGGCGCTCCGCCAACCCGTCATGTCCTCCGCGGCACCGTATCGGCATCAGCCCTATTTTTAATGGGATAGGTCGGCAAACAAAGAAACCATCAGAGGAGCTCTCTGATAAACCTGAACCTTTTAAAAGACAAACAAAAATTATACTCAGAATTCCAACACCTCGATCATCAATCATAAAGTTTATGAAAAAACTGACGTAAGTACCTAAGCATTTACTTCTTAGAGAGCAACACGTCAGCGAAAACGAAAGTACCTTTCAAGTCCTGAAGTAGCGACTTTAAGGCAAATATTTATATATTACTATATTTACTTGGCCTTATTTACTTGCGAGATGGGAAAGTTATCATTACACGGTGAGAGACGGCTTGACAAATAAGTTTGGGTAGGTAGGCGCCTATGAATGTCAAGGATTTGAGAGTACGAAATTCAAAATTGATTTTTGGAGTTTGTTGGTCCAACCTAAACCTTTCGGTTGGTACCCAGTGTTTAGGGATATGAAAATACCGGTTGTCGCTTTAAAAGTTGGGGGTAAGTAATCAATATTTGGTCACTGAACGGGTGTCCTAAGAGCTAGACTTTCAATTCAATAAAAGTATGGTTTATTCCTCTGGTGTTGCGGGTGTCTATGGTCAGCGCGGATCGATGATCCATCTGGACGTTTGCCTCACATTCCATAAAAAAATAACACAAATAAGTTATCAAATTCTTCTTAAGATGACACATATAGGTTCGGAGTCGTAGACGTAGGCGTAAACGCAAGAACGTGCGTAAGCTCTTAACCCCTCAAAAAGACTGTTATGGCTTCTGCCATAACAGTCTTTTTGAGGGGTTAAGAGCTCTCTTCTCTCTCTCTTCTCTGCACACAGCTTTCTAGCTGTGTGCAGAGAAGAGTGGAAGGAAAATAAGAAACATTTGCACTGCAGTGAGACGGTCACGGCTAAAAAGATTCGATGATGTGTACATTAATAAGTAGGGGAGATTAGGGTCAAATGAAATTAAAAAAAAAACAGTTATACTTTGCCCGACCCGGGAATCGAACCCGGAGGCCCCTTGTCCGGCAGTCGCACTTGCGACCACTCGGCCAACGAGGCAGTCTTTAAAACTAAGACTTATAAACTAATATAATAATGTTATGTAATAATACCAGAATCTCAGTATTCATTAAATGGGTACTTCTTAGTTAGATGCGAAAGTAAACTACACCTATAATGTAATAATAGATTCCGAAGCGTAACAATGTATTTACGCAACTGTAGCAAATAATTTACTGCCCAGTAAGTTAATTACAGAATAAATAAATCAATTATGTTTCAGGGACTTATCTTTAACAAGAAAATTAACACTAAAGTTATATTCCAAACTCACTCCGGCAACCAAAAGTTTTTTTACATAGACATCTACCGGTGATTACGACAACTAACTAAATCCGCGATGTTAGAGTTGTCCATTGTGGTAAGAGATGGCGCTAAAGTCGTATTGATATAAACATCTAGCGGCAGTTACGCCAACTAACTAAATCCGCGATGTTACAGTTCTCCATCGTGGGAAGAGATGACGCTAAAATCGTATAGATATAGACATCTAGCGGCAATTACGACAAATAACTAAATCCGCGATGTTACAGTTCTCCATCGTGGGAAGAGATGACGCTAAAATCGTATAGATATAGACATCTAGCGGCAATTACGACAAATAACTAAATCCGCGATGTTACAGTTCTCCATCGTGGGAAGAGGTGACGCTAAAATCGTATGGATATAGACATCTAGCGGCAATTACGACAATTAACTAAATCCGCGATATTACAGTTCTCCATTGTGGTAACAGATAGCGCTAAAGTCGTAAAGATATAGAGATGGCGCTATAAACAACTTTGGATTGAAGTTTCCGAAATTCAGATTTCGTTTTATGTATGACTCGTAAATAAGAAAATCAATATTTCAATAGTATTAAAATTTAATAAATGTCAATAAAAAAATTATATAATACACTTAAAAGTATTTTTCAAGCGGTTCTCCCAAGATTTGTTCGAGTTTCCTGATTGCATCTTTAGTAGATGCTTCTATTCTTGAGTCACCATCTTCTAGAAGTTCAGCGAGGAATGGCACACTCTCAGCCAGAAGCGGTAACCAGCTACTGCCTAATTGCGTTGCCATAGCGACGAGACAGTCTAGGGCTGTCAATCTGAAAAACAAAATGAAAATGTTTAAAGCTTTGTGATGATAGATTGAAAGTGTGAGTTTTTTCACGGTACAGTTCAACAGTCGTATGTTAATGCACCCACAATACAAAAATATAAACTTCTAGACTGGCGTACTGACGTTTTTAAAAAGAAAAAAAGTTGTTTTATATAAAACGTTGCCCCACACTAAGATTTTCTCCTGTGTCGTGGGTGCGTTTACAAACATACAAGTTCACATACACATCACACCCAGACCGGAACAACAATCTATGGATAACACAAAGAGTTCCGTGCGGGAATCGAACCCGCGACACGTTGCGCGGCAGTCAGTTGTCCAACCACCGCGCCAACCATGCAGCCAAAAGTAGTATAAAGATAACCGCACTAACCTGATCTCAGCATCATTATGCCGCGTCTTCAACAGAATCTGATAATTCAACAGCTTCCACAACGAATCATCAGCCGTAGCAACAGCAAATTGCGACACACAAGGGATCAGATACTCTGTAGCCCTTGACTTAAGGTTCTGAATACCTCCCAACGTGTTCTCCAACTGGTCCACCACAGGTTGCATAAGAGTTTCAAACCTGTCCTTGTTTAGGAAACTCTGACTATCATATAGGAAGACTGTATGAAGAGTTTTGACAATATACTTGACTAAAGCCAAGCATTTATCTTCAGATTCAAAGTACAAGTCCTCAGTTTTGCTGTTGTTGCAGGAATCAAGGAGGTCTGATGCGTTTTTGATGAAGTGTCCAGCGAAGAGAACGAACAGGCCTTTTAGTTTGTCTGCGATCGCAGAGCTTAGTCTGAAAGAGGTTGAAATGTGGTTTTAGTAAGGTAGAAGTACAATAGCAAATGAGGTGTTTAAGTTATTGTCATTTGGTTTAGTCCAGGAATTGGCTAATTACTTGTGTTATGTTTTAGAGTTTGTAATTCCTAGCTATACAAATCCGTAGTACATAATTGTGTTTGTTAGATGGTATGATGATATTAGATAACAACATAACTGTTCCTGTGGGAAATGATTTCTAAAAACAAATCTAATAATTTAAAAAAGGAAATGAGTTGTTTCTTACCTATAAAAAGTGATTGCCCGATCTTTCTGTCCTTCAACGTTAGTCCTTATAGCCCAATCATAGATCTTGAAATAGAACGGTCTGAAGCTGGTTTCCGAAAGCTTCAGAACGAGGCATACAAGGGCATTCACTACCTCATCTTCAGCTCTGTCAATGACGTCAGCACTGACATCTTTTACAACCGCATCACTTCTTAATTGTAGGGCCGTCAAGAAGAATGATGTTAGATCTTGCTGAAGAGCTGTGAAATCTGCTGTAGTGACGTTAGCAAAGCTGTCAGCTAATACTGACATCACCGGACCAACAGCATCAAAGTCCTCCTTCTCCAGAAGCATTTGATGAGTCTGATTAACCACAGGGATAAGAACCCTGGGCGGTATAGATCCAGCAATTTTCTTCTTAATAGTCAACAATTTTGATACTATTGCAGAAACTTTGGAGCACTCCTGGTCTAGACTCTGCCATTTAGCCAGTAAGATGGAATACTCGTATAATATTTTCTGCAAGTAAGGGCTCAGGAATAGTGGTAGACTTTCCACAATCTTCGCAATGGCTGTTACTGTACTGAGTAGCACAAGTTCTTGGGTTTCTGCCTTTCGCTGCTTCTTCAGCACCTTGATAAGTGCTGGCATGAACTTCCGAAGGCTGGCCAAAGCATGGGCCTTTAGATTACTGCACAATTCCGCCAAACACAAGACAACAGAGGCCATAACATTACCAGCAATGTTAGGATTACAAGTATAGTCCGTAACTGTCTCCAGCACATCCTTAAATGGCTCAGGATTCTCTGATGCCAGCATTCTAGTCAACAACTTCAAAGACAGTAAAGCTGTTTGCTGGTTCAACTCCAGTTCCTGAGCAGCTATCTCGCTCAAATTCTCATCTCGAACCTCAATCGTCTTGACAATATCCAATAGAGGTGGCAACAACGAGAAAAGCAAATCTTTTTCAACACCCTCAAACAATTCTGGACTGAATTGGATTTTGGAGTTCAGTAGTTCCATGGACTTCCTTCTCACGGTTTGTAAAGTATGTTTCAAAAGGCCTCTGACGACAGAGAGGAACATTGGAGCAGAGAGCAGGTTGTTCGTATGATCTAATAAATCGTAGCTATGATGCAACATAACACGCCAATATTTAGCCGTCTTATCATCGGAGACCTTAGAAATTGTTTGGATGAACGTCAGAATATTGATAATGAAGGTCTTGTAATGAGTCTCCATTGCTTTCTCGTCAGTCACTTGGCTGCTATGCTGAATGAACCTGGATGAAGCCAGGCAGGTGTTCATAAACGTGATTACCATGTATTTGTAGTGTCGTAATTGCAGTGGAGAATGTCCAGCCACGCTGAATATGTCGCTTGGGTCTACATCAGTGTCCATAACACTCTCATCCTTTTGCAAAGGCAGGGATTTAATATAAATGATCAGTTTTATGAAGTTCTCTAAAGCGACTTCTGGTGGGAACTCTAGCACGATGCTCTGTCCAAAATCAATGCGGTTGATAGGTGCTTCTTGGTCCGCTAAGGCTCTTGAATTACGCTTGTCTACCTTTTTCTCCTCGCTAAAGTGGGCGACGTGAGTCTCCAAAAGTAAAGCAAGGAAAACCCATAGGAATTGACTGGGTCCTAGGGTTTCAATCAGCTTTTTGAACAAAGGAAGCCTCCTATGCTCCGGTACATGTAGCACGCAATCAGCAAATATACGCAAAACTGGAACAACACGATTTTGTAACTGTTCGAGCTCTTTTTCAGTATGGTCTCCAATACTCTTGTCCAATTTCACCAGGATGGGTATCAATGTCTCAATAATTTTGATAATAATCTGGAAACTGTACGCGTCATCGTGTCTAAGAACTGATGTGCCCATGAACGTGAATATTTCCATCGTGTGGTGAAGAACTTGCTCTGGTAACATGAATGCAGCGTGGGACAAGAGAATGAGAGCATGGTGATGTGTCTGAGGGTTTTGAGTACCTCTGATACACTGCACAGCTAGTTCAACATTAAACACGGATTTAAGAGACTTCATTTGTTCCTTGTCCTTTTCGTCAACGAATTTCTTGCAATAATACCACAGGGATGAAAGAATGAGCTGTTTGGTATATTCCACGTAAGATTGTTCTTCGAATCTCAAGCACTTGTTTAATATTTGGAACAGAAGCGAAACGAAAGTGTTGTCCAACTTCATTTTCTTCTTACTCTGAACAAATTCGAGGAAAGCAACTCCCAAACGCCAGTCGTCGGTTTCTGTTACCTGGTGAGAAAGCATAGAGACTGACGACTTCTTTTTCTTGGACACATTCTCAGCTGGATCCACTACATTCAACATTTTTTCCAATATAGGTTTGAAGTGACTGAATTTCAGATGAATTTTCTTCATAACTTTCGAAGCTACACTCGATATTGATGGATTGTTGCTGACCGCGCCAGCACAAGCGATCAAGTGCACTAAACCATTACATTTTTCTTCTGGCACTTTATTGAAAACATCTTCGTCTATCTGCTTCATTATCAGAACAGATGGACTAACGAATGATTGGTCCTCTTGTAAGATGCACTCTCGATATTCTTTCAAACCTATTTCTATAGAACTCCAGACTTGTTCATTTGAGAATGTACTAATAGTAGACTCAGTAATATGGTCATACACGCTCTTGAACATATTAGACTCATAAATATCAAATATGAACTTTGTATTCAGAGTATTTTGTTGCAAAGTCTCTTCTAAAGGTTTCAAAGCCTGTACAATGTGCGGGAATGCGGTGGCATTCTTGACTTCGCAAAGAATTTTGAGGAAACTGGACTTAATATGCGATGGTGCTCCAGAGTTCAATATACCAACCAATTTTAAAAGGCAGTTGCGCCTGAACAGCTTCTTCTGGTCTTTCTGAGTCAGTATCGTATTTAGAACATGTTTTACTTGGTTATGGTCGAGTAACATTTCTTCTTTATGCGACAATAACTCTTCAAACAATTGGACGTATACTAATTTCTTATCCGGTTCTTCTCTCATTAACTTATTAACGAAATCAATTGACAATTCACGAATAGCACTTAATGGATTGTTTAAACACAACAAAATAGTTAGGACCACAACATCAGAGTCATGCAGCCAAGTCGCTTTATCTTGTACAGCTAGGAAGTTGGTGAGCAATTTAATACTTCTAATTTGCAACTCCGGTCCAATAACGTCCTTAGGGTCGGTCGCATACAAGATATGTCCACAAGCAAAGTTCGTAATAAACTCGAATTTCTCTCGAGGATTTTTGAAAAATTTCTCCAACAATTTCTGAAGTAGAGCGACATAGTTTTCACCGTAGCTTGGAATCGCACATCCGATCACACAAATCTCGTATAGTCTCCTAATAAGGATCGTCTCTGGAGTTTTACAAACATCACACCACGGTTTAGGAATGTTGGTCACATTCATATCCTCAATCACTCGAGAGAAAATAAACTCAATAATTTGGAAAAGCATATTATTCTGACGACAGAGCTTTATGAATTCTGGCATGATAAGGCTGGAGAATACTTGTCCTTCTGAACTGTGGACTATGGATCTATTTTCTACAGATTCCAAAAGCACATTTAGTATGGCTGAAACTTCTTCCACTGTGGCGCTCTTAAGGGAACTGCTTTTTAACAACATGTAAAAGCAGACGTCCAAAGTATTTCCCTTATTCAACTGATTTTCATCAAGGATTTCATCCAAGTTCAGAGTTCTATCAACAAAGAGTGCTTTGAATATAACTTCGCATAGTTTAGCATGGTCTCCTTTTATGGATCCTTTAAGATCTTTTGTTTTGTTCGAAAGACCAAATTTCTTACCCCAAGCCGATGTTAGTATCTGCCAAGTCAGTTTAGCAGATTCCGCATCACTTGGGAATAAATAAGGCACTAAAGCTAAAACTGTTTCTTGATTGACAGGCAAAGTCTCAGTAGAGCAAAAGGTTGTAACAGCCTTTTTGACAATACTTTTCCATTTCTTAGATCCTTTTCCAACAATAGCGACAAAAGTGCTGGTAGCATCAGCTTCATCAAAAATGTCCTTTAAGTATTTAGTAGGGATATCCAAGGCTGTGTTTACAACTTCAGGATTATCATCATTTAACCTGTTAATGATAGATTCTTTGACAAAATCAGCATGTTCCGTCTTCAATGCTTCAAATTCTTTAGCAATGTATTTGACCGCTTCTACTCTCAATTTCGCATTGACATGGTTAAGGTTTTCGAAGAGATATGTATCACCGACCTTATGTGCGACTGCTGGTTTGAAGCCCAACAATTTTGAGAGCTGATTCCGTCTTTTTTTGGTATTCTTGCTGTTGGAGCTCATTTCTTTTTTGACCACTTTGTCGAAAGCGTCTGGGTATTGACGCTCGAGGTTCTTTAAGAATAGGGCGTACCAGTTGAAAACTTTGCTGGCATTGTCATCTTCATCAATAATTTCCACGTCACTCCCATCATCATCTGTGGTTGTACTTGTATTTTTAGGTTGGAAGGAGTCGAGGACACACCTGGAATTTTAAGGTTGATTGTGTTAGTTTCTTTTCAGATAGAGATACTTTTATGAATTATTTATTCGGTTGACATTATCTGACTACTTTATACTGATGGATGGTTAGGATTTAACCAATGCTACTGTGAGTATTTTAAAAATATTACCATAGTCAGCACAAACTCATTACATAAATATTGCATGAGATTGAGAATTAATAAAATTAATAAACAAAAATAAAAAGAGATGAGAATAATAGTTAATTTTGTTTAGCATCTTTCGTAAAACATACTAATTAAATTAGTTCCTCGCCAAATTATTACATGAGTAAGCCGAAAACATAATAATTTAATATTTGTTTAATCACAATAAGCCAACAGCGTGGTATTTTCCTAAAGTTTTAAGTATTTTTAAAGGCTAAATAGAATATTAACAAGATTTTTTAAAACCTGGTACACAAGTAAGTACTACCCCAGTAGACACCCATTTGTTGTGATTTCACATACTAATCAACATATACACAAAGCAAAATGAGATATTCTGCGCAAGAATAATAAGAGATATTATGTAGTTAGTTTAAAACTTACTTGATAATCAATTCTGGCTTCTGCTGCTTCAAGTCAATTTCACCTATCAAAATTTCAGGTAGCTTACAGTACCTCCAATAGTCTTCACCGGTAATCAATGGTAAAACACTGGACAAGAATGCTAATAAAAATGCACTAATCTTGTGGCGTTTTTCAACCAACTTCTTAATATGACCGCATAATGAATTCATGATATCGATAGACATATCATTTAATATATCTTCAGACATTTTCTTCATGTGGCTCTGCTTCTCGTAGACCATTGTAATAAGAATTGCTACGTCAATTGAAATATCAAACTCGGTAGTCAAAAGTTTCAAGATTATTTCGTTCAGGGTATCCTCTTTTAAACTCGTTTTTGTGAACAAGTATCCCAGAGTAACATATGCAGAAGATCTAAAATCTACAAGTGGCGATTCAATTGCCTTTATAATGGTAGGCAATAATGCATTAATAATAGCTTCGGTGACTTTCTTGCTGGAATCCATAACACCAATAGCTGTCTGACAGAAGAAAGCGTATACAGTATTGAGTTGTGTCGCTCTTTCACCAAATTCCTTTACATACTTCAATGTTGTCTTTGCAATAAACTGCAATGTGCCATTATTTGACACACATTGGTTGAACAAAACCTGTTTGGCTAAAGTAATGCCATTCTTTTGAATAGGCATGAGCCAGTTCCATCTATTGTTGTTTGATTTAATATCCATAAGTTGGACGAATCTGACAAATATATTTGTGGTATGGTACGGGAGAATTAATGCCATGATGGCATCTTGATTGTATTGCTGAATATGGTATCTGTTAATAAGCCATTCTAGAGCTTTGTGAGAGGATTGTAAGAGAAGGTAAGGCGATAACTGGAGGAGAAACTTCTCTATGGTCTGATCGAGGTTTTGATTAACCTCCTTGGTCTGCACAGCTCTTTCGAAGTCCTTAGATGACAGGCTGAATAGAGTATCTTCAAACACACGGAATCCTTCGTATAATGCGATTAGTTCTCTCAACCCGCTAATTCCAATTTCATAAAAGGTGTCGCGATCTTTATTCGCGGCTTCTTTCGGGTCAAAAAGTAATGAAACTGTTTTATTGTCGTCCTTATAGATCGTTGATTGAGGTACTGATAGCTTCTTCAGCTGTTCCGCTAAAGATGTAGAAGCCATGGTATTTTTTTATGTCTGTAACAATGAGGTATTTATAAAATAAAAATACCACACTTGCCGGGTCTAAGGTTATAGTGGTTTAAAAGAGATTAAACGTTATACGTACCAATTTGTCATTAATAAAGTAGCACAATTGTAACTATTTGTTCACTTATATTATTATTATTTAAATTTAAACTTAAATCACTCGATAAAAAGAGCACGTGGAAATCAATGCAGCACTTAATGTTTACAACTCGAAGCTGTCAGACTGAATGAATGAATGCTGAGTTCTGGAGCTGACACTGTCACTTCACCTGACTTGACGATGTGACGTTTCATTTAACGTTACGTTTTGCTACTCTCAACCTAAAATTCAGACAACAGAACATTTTTTAATGTCCATTTGAATGTTTATCAATTTAATTACATGTTTTATTATTATTTAAATGATAAATATATCATGATATTCAATTTTACTTCTTTCCATTCCAACTAAATGTTATTTTATAATGTTGCCAAGTAGAAAGTAAAATAATATTTTCTATGTTTTTTATTTATTTAACTTTCATCGCATGCGTGATCGCTGTCTCAGCCTCAGGTCTCAATTTGCCTAGTTGGCGAAAGGTATTGAGTTTTAAGAAGTATTTTCTTTTCAAAAAATTTTTTGTAGTAGCACAGAGTTAAATGTTAATAATCCTTCTTGCACATAAATATCTAGCGGAAAGAGGATTTTATTGAAAGTTTATCCGTAAATTATTTATGTACCTACCTACGCATATACGGTCAAAAGCCCACTGCCACCGTAAGACTACTATCGGTTGCGCTACAGCGCTTATACTGTGTATTGGCGATGCAAACATTCAACTAGCACCTCTAGTGTCAAAATTGTGTCAGACAGCTGTCTAAGAACGACACTGACAGTTTTCTAATATTAATTAATAATCTAATATAAATAATTCACGTCATAGAAAAAAATATTTATTAAAATATAAATCAGATTTATGTGGTTTCTTGTATATAAATATTTAAGTAAATTGCAAAATTAATCAAATGTTATACTAATTATTCAGTTAATATTCTTAACTCACCTCATTACACTCGAATACAATCCTATATCCTTTATACACCATCACTCCATCATTAAACTCGCATTCCGGATTCATTTACTATAATTATGTTTATCTGATGCTCGACCACTGTAAGATGCACTTATTTCAGTTATTAGGCCAGTAGGAGTTATTTCAATATTAAACTTCGCTTTATTGAGAGTACGCAATATTCTACATTTTAAACATTTAATACTAAACACTTAACATTTAATTTTTTAACATTTTTTAAACATTTAACATTTAATATTATTCCTGAATTTTTATATTTTTGGAATGATAATTACTACTTATCATTTCGTTATCAACCAAAGAAAAACAACTTTGAGTACTCTACTTAGCATGGGACATATAATATTATTATTAGAACATGTCTACCTATTTAACCCAAACAAAACACCAATCGCTCTAAATGACATATTTTGTTTAATTTTTACAACTGTCAAAATAATTCTGGTCTCTCACAGATAACATTTTCTTGTTTGTTGGAGCATTTAAGGCCAATTTACTTAACACAAGTCATCAATGTTTCTAAAAGTTCAATTAAATGAATACCCGTAAAAGTAAATAAATACATATTAATTACCTTCTGCTAAATAAGTAAATCTGAGAGGGTTAATTGCTTCACAGCTGATTCCATACAGGAAGAAAATTTATTTGATTCATAATTTTGTCTTTTGGAAATAAATAAAAACTTATTCCGGAATGTCCATAAGTGTTACATTAAAGAACGCAACAATATTTTGTTTCTGCTTTTATAAAAAAGAAGTTTCTGTATGTAATCGTGATCTATTTGACTATGTTTAAACTTTATTAACTTTACTTCAAGAGAAAAGTGTCGTTCTTTGACAACTTCTAAATTTCATTACCATTATACATATTATTTTTCATTTTTCATTACATTTACCATGTATAATGATGATAATGTATATGTATAATTCAGCTGTTCAGTAAACTAATCATAATTATTCAAAGTTCATACACTGATTGAGACAAATGAAAAAAAACGTAGGTATTTCAATTATACGAAATTGCTTTATAAAACTAGCAACACTGCTAGTGACACTGAATTTGACTTGCAGTTTTACCAGATGATTCTTGTTTACAAATTCTCAAGGAATTTGCGTATAATTGCGTTAGTAATGTTATTAAGGTTTATCAATTAACAATGTTAATATTATGACGTATATTTAGTGTAAGATAAACACGTGTTTGTGTAGTGTTATTGGTTTATTCAGTAAGCATCGTATGATTTAAGTGTTCTTCTTTGTTCTCTTGTAAACATGGCAATGAAAATTGTTATTCTGTCTATTTTATTTTTTATTGTTCCTATTTTGAGTTATAAACCTGTGGTTCTTATCCATGGGGTGATGACTGGAAGTGCTAGCATGGAGTTGATTAAATTAAGGATCGAAGAGGTAAGGGTTTATTCATGGCTCTGGGGTTTTCCCCTGAAGTCTGCGGTTTTTTTTCGTATTATTTCGAAGGTCAAGTTCATTCACCCATTGCCAATGTGCTGTGTAATGATCGGTGATGGGATTTAAATTGCAACTTTTTGTTAGCATTCACATTACAGATAAAGGTACTTACCTAAACTTTTTTGTTGTATTTTTAGCTAGAGACTCTCCTATAGTTTTTATTGTTGTTGTTATTAAAAAAATTATGTATTATATTGCTGTACATTTAAAAATGCAGTAATATTATTTTGTAGTTGATTGTTATTATTTAAATATAGAGTGAGAAAAATAATTAAAAAATAATATAAGTTCCTGTCATCTTCCTTTAAATAATTATAAAATAATATTGGGTATATTATGTATACACATATGTAGGTTTTTTTAAGTTTAAACAGTCATTAATTATTATGTTTTCGGCTTACACATATTACTGTTGGACGAGGAATATAATACAATTCCATGGACAATTAACTCAATCATAATATTATTATTGTTTACTGTTTAATAACAGTGTTACAAATTCATTCATACACCTAAATGTCAGAGAGTTTTGTCACTAACCATGAAAATTAGTATCTTTTTTATACTAGGTACTTACCTATACCTACTATTGTTCAAACAAAGTTTACTGTCCGCCTAAGAATATGAATGTTTATTTGCATGAAGTATGGTAATTACAGTTGATAGTAAGTACCTATAAAAAATAGTCCCACATACATAACCTACTGTTTTCGGCATGCAAAGTTAAATATTACAATAATAATAAAAAAAGAAATGAAAAGTGATCACTAGGTTAAAATTAATTTGCTTGTATTATAAATGTACTGGAGACCATGTAGGAAACTGATTTGCATCATTGTTCTCGAGGGGGCAGACTCTATAATCACTCTACAAAGACTCTACAAAGTGATGGCACAATCAAACAGTAGTTAAAGATCTATAACTCCCTAACCAGACAAGATCCAGCACCTAGAATATTAAGTCATAAATATATAAATTCTTTTTTTTTTTAAACATTGCCCCTTACTAGTAATATTCTGTGTAGTGAGTGCGTTTAAAAACATACAAGTTCACATACACATGGCACCCAGCCCGGAACAACAATCTGTGGATCACACAAAGAGTTATTCCGTGCGGGAATGTGTTTGTCAGTTGTCCAGCCACCACGCTAACCGTGCCATCAAATTATCCTCTTTTATTATTATCCTCTTATTCCATAAAAAAATATTACCCTTATTTCATTCCTTTATTTATATTTTTCAGCAACATCCCGGTACAATAGTGTACAATGTGAACAGATTTGAGAGCTGGTCCAGTTTGGAGACGATGTGGCATCAGGTGCTGGAGATTGGCATGGATATAGCCAACATATCTAGTCGACATCCTGACGGAATTAATCTTATTGGTAAGAACAGTTAAAAGTATAAAGATAATTTTATTTTTAATAAGTTTAGCTAGTCCTATAATAAAATGCCAAAGTCCTTTTGTTACGCTTCGCGGGCTCGCAACTTTGTCCTTGACGTTTAATCGATTTTCATGGGTAGCTATTATTGTAGAGAATACAATATCTGAACACAGAAATTATCATACACATTATATACATAAAAAATGCAATGCCAAAATGTGTGTGTATTATATGCGCAATTCACATAACTCATTAGTTATAGATATTAAAATTCGACTCTTTACTTGGATAACAACTCTGCCTCGTTGGCCGAGTGGTCTCAAGTGCGACTCTCGGGTCTCGGGTTTGATTACCGGGTCAGGCAAAATATTACTGGGTTTTGAAAAATTCTTAGTAGTAGCACGGAGTCTTGAATTGTGCCCGGTATATGGCAATAGGCTCACCCCCTATCCCCCTATTACATGGGACTCATAACATAAATAGTGAAAAGTGGGTGTTACATTGTATAGTGGCATTAATGTGCACCTCTACCTACCCTATTGGGGATAAAAGGCGTGATGTTGTGTTATGTTGGATAACAATATTTTACAACATAAAAATTGAGATATCAACATTGTTAATTTAAGGTGAAGTTACTGTAGGTAACTGATTACAAAAAGTAATCATCATCACAGCCTATAAATGCCCACTGCTGAGCAAAGCCTCTTCTCACACGGAGAAGGTTTGAGCATTAATCACCACGCTTGCTCGATGCGGATTGGCGATTACAAACTTATAATTGGAAATTATAAACCCAGGTTTCCTCACGATGTTTTCCTTCACCGTTTGTCAGTGGTGTCTAGATAATCTTAGAAAGTACATATAACTCGGAAAAAGTCACATTGGTACTTGCCGTTGGTTGGTTTCCAACCCGTACCCTTATGCATGAGAAGCGGACGTCTAAAACCTCTGGGCCATCACGACAGTTCATATTAAGTAATACATATTTTTAAATTTCCAGGATATTCTCAAGGAGGTCTGATAGCTCGTGGCATTGTGGAAACATTTCCAAATGTGTCAGTTAGCACATTTATATCATTGAGCTCACCACAGGCTGGACAGTACGGAGGTAAATAATAATATTATATTATTTATTATTCTTGCTACGTTGAATCATAAGTTTCAAATAACAATAAAGTAAGGTTTACAAACTATGTTATTCATATTTGTAATAGAGCCAATACAATTACAATTTAAGTGCGGGAGAGCCATGCTTCGGCACGAATGGGCCCGCTCGACCGGAGTGATACCACGGCCTCACAGAAAACCGACGTGAAACTTCAGTTATGTTTTGTTTCGTCGTGTGAGTGAGGTTACCGGAGGCTTAATTACCCTCCTCCCCAGAATCCCCCCACAATCCTCAAATTCCC